GAGGCCCTCCTCACTAGACTTTGGTTTGCATGATGATGATGATGGTGGTGGGGGAATTCTTGGTATTACTCAGCTTTGCTGACTGATGGTTGGTTATATATTTTTTATCATCCTCAGCATTATTTGACCAGCTTTTGGGTTTTCATTTAAAAGTGGAATTAATTTTTTCCTCTCACCATGGCTACCCATATCCATGGTACCTCTGCTATGTCTCTGTGGCATGTTGATGCATTTATGGGTTGCCTTCTTTATAATCGGGCTTGACTGTATTTTATGCTATATATGTATGTAGTAAATATGTATGTATAGTATTTTCTTATTGTTTATGTTGTTGTTATTGTTCTGGTGTTGTTGGGTAAATGTTTTCTTTTTAATTGTTGTTGTTGCTGTGTGTACTGCCACCAAGTAATGTCTGATTTAATCAGCAATTGAGGGCATCCAAGTGTAAATGATTTCCTTTTTCTTTTGTTGTAATGCAAAAATTCCAAAGGGAGGAGGAGGAGAAAAAAAGCAAGTTAAATTGCTGTCGAATGACTTACACTTTCCTTTTTTATCTTCAATTGCTCCAATTTAACGAAGAATGGAAAATATTAAAAATGAAAAATATATCTATTCGAAAACATGGGGGATACTTTTAAGAATTTTTTTCAATGATCAATTTAAAAGAAATATTTACAAGGCCAATAAATAGGCGTGGATTTTTTAAAAATATATTTACAAGGCCTATAAATAGGCGTGGATTTTTTAAATATTTTTAGAGCCCTACAAATGGTCGTGGATTTAAAAAAAAATGTTTTCATAGCCTATATAATGTATGGATTTTTATACCCTTCACCACACTGTGGTACAGGATATTATGTATTTGTGCATATGTTTGTAAAAGGCAAAAAATAATCGAGATAGACCCATGGTTCCTTTTGAGAATATGCATAGAATCACTTTCTGAGTCGATTTATGCATGTCCGTCCGTCCGTCTGTCCATCCGTGTATTTTTGTGAACAAAGTACAGGTCGCATTTATGATCCGATTTCGATGAAATTTGGCATAGGTCACTTATTTGGCCCAAGGACGAATCCTATTGAAATTGGAAAAAATCGGTTTAGATTTAGATATAGCTCCCATATATATTTTCGTCCGATTTAATGTAAATGGTGCACCAAAGTCCCTATATATATTTCGATTTGCAGGAAATTTAGCACAGCGTAATGAATTAGGTCTAGAATAATGTGTGTTAAGTTTCCTGAAAATCGGTCCAGATTTAGATATAGCTCCCATATACATTTTCGTCCGATTTAAGGAAAATGGTTCAGCAAAGTCCCAATATATCTTTCGATTTGCACGAAATTTGGCACAGCGTAATGAATTAGGTCTAGAATGATGTCTGCCATGTTTCGTGAAAATCGGTTAACATTTATATATAGCTCCCATATATATTTTGGTCCGATTTAAGGTAAATTGTGCACCAAAGTCCCTATATCTTTCGATTTGCACGAAATTTGGCACAGCGTAATAAATTAGGCCTAGAAAGATGTGTGTTAAGTTTCCTGAAAATCGCTTCAGATTTAGATATAGCTGCCATATATATTTTCGTCCGATTTAATGTAAATGGTACACCAAAGTCCCTATATATCTTTTAATTTGCACGAAATTTGGCACAGCGTAATTAATTAGGTCTAGAATGATGTGTGTTAAGTTTCCTGAAAATCGGTTCAGATTTAGATATAGCTCCCATATATATTTTCGTCCGATTTAATGTAAATGGTACACCAAAGTCCCTATATATCTTTCGATTTGCACGAAATTTGGCACAGCGTAATAAATTAGGCCTAGAAAGATGTCTGCCAAGTTTCGTGAAAATCGCTTCACATTTAGATATAGCTCCCATATATATTTTCGTCCGATTTAAGGTAAATGGTGCACCGAAGTCCTTTAATATCTTTCGATTTGCACGAAATTTGGCGCAGCGTAATGAATAAAGTCTAGAATGATGTGTGTTAAGTTTCCTGAAAATCGGTCCAGATTTAGATATAGCTCCCATATATATTTTGGTCCGATTTAAGGTAAATTGTGCACCAAAGTCCCTTAATATCTTTCGATTTGCACGAAATTTGGCCAAGCGTAATGAATTAGGTCTAGAATGATTTGTTTTAAGTTTCCTGAAAATCGGTCCAGATTTAGATATAGCTCCCATATATATTTAGGTCCGATTTCAGGTCAATTGTGCACCAAAGCCCCTTAATATCTTCCGATTTGCACGAAATTTGGCACAGCGTATTGAATTAGATCTAGAATGATGTGTGTTAAGTTTCGTGAACATCGGTTCAGATTTAGATATAGCTTCTATATCTGACCAAATGAAAAATTTAGTATCGGTTGCAGAATGACATGTTTATGGATCCAATTTCATTTTACTGGTCCTTTAAAAATGCACCGTCTGTTAGGATTCATCGTTGAATATAACCAAAGTGGTGAAGGGTATCATATAGTCGGTCCCGTCCGACTATACTGCTCCGCTCACTGGTTTTAAAATATTTTAGAGGCCACTATAAGGCAAGGATTTTTTTAAAAATATTTAGAGGCCACTATAAAGTGTGCATTTCAATAATATTTTTCAAAGCCTATCTTAAGGCGTGGATTTTTTAAATATATTTTTCAAAACCTATCTTAAGGCGTGGATTGTTAAAATATATTTTTCAAAGCCTATCTTAAGGCGTGGATTTTTTAAATATATTTTTCAAAGCCTATCTTAGGGCGTGGATGTTTTGAAAATATTTTTCAAAGCCTATCTTAAGGCGTGCATTTTTTAAATATATTTTTCAAAGCCTATCTTAAGGCGTGGATTTTTTTGAAATACATTTTTCAAAGTCTATCTTAAGGCGTGGATTTTTTAAATATATTTTTCAAAGCCTATCTTAAGGCGTGGATTTTTTAAATATATTTTTTAAGCCTACTATTAGGCGTGGATTTTTTAAATATATTTTTTCAAAGCCTATCTTAAGGCGTGGATTTTTTTAAATATATTTTTCAAAGCCTATCTTAAGGCGTGAATTTTTTTAAATATATTTTTCAAAGCCTATCTTAAGGCGTGAATTTTTTTAAATATATTTTTCAAAGCCTATCTTAAGGCGCGAATTACTTTTTAGGATTTATGGTTCCCCTAGGAATGTTCTGCCTTTTTCCCACCTTCCCTCCTTCTTTCCCTATTTTTATCTTCCACCTGCATATATAATATTCTTTGTTTTGATTATCACAAATCTTCTAATATTTGGTAAAATGCCAACACCTTTTAAAAAATAAATGAATATGAACATACGACGAACGGCTACTACGACCACCACCACTACTATGCTCATTTGCCGAACATCGGCCAGAACTTTTGTTTTAGGTGGACGACACACAAGTGAAAAATGAAAGGGGAAAATTCGAACCATATTGAATGAATATTTTTGTTGTCTATGTGCCGCCTATACGTCCCATTTAAATGTAAATTATATTAACCACTAAAAGAAGAAAATAAATAAATAGGGAGGGTCGATCCCATTTGTTCATTTGTCGGATCTTTTTTGTTGTTGTTGTTGCTGCTTCTGATGCTGATGCCACAAATCATTATTGAAACTATACATAGAGCCATAATAATATATCGAAGCAAACGTCCACCATTCAAAGGCGATATGTCATGTGGTGGGTGGTGGTGCTGGTTGAGGCTGGCGATGGATGGACGGTTGGTTGGCTCTGTTTGTTTGGTGGGTTTAAATAGATGGACATCATTTTTTGCGCGACACATAATCTTGACACAATGTTTATTTTCTTGTTTTGTCGACATCGTCGGACAACACAACGCCGCCACATGGCAGAACGGCGAAAATTGTTAGTGACAATGAGAATAGAAAGTTAAAAAAAAAACACACAAACATCAACTACTAAATTACGCGCAAAAATCAAATGAATTTGCGTAAAAACAAAAATTGAAATCTGTCAATTTTTGGGAGGGCTAAAATGTTGAGGAGGAGAGGGGATTTTTAAAATAATATCTTTAAGGGTCTACCTTAAGGCGTGAATTTTTTAAACAACATTTTTAGGGTCTACCTTAAGGCGTGGATTTAAAACAATATTTTTTAGGGTCTACCATAAGGCGTGTTTTTTTAAACAATATTTTTCAAGGTCTACCTTAAGGCGTGCATTATTTAAACAATATTTTTAGGGTCTACCTTAAGGGGTAGATTATTTAAACAATATTTTTAGGGTCTACCTTAAGGTGGGGATTTTTAAAAATTATTTTTAAGGGTCTACCTTAAGGCATGGATTATTTAAACAATATTTTTAGGGTCTACCTTAAGGAGTGGATTTTTAAACAATATTTTTCAAGGTCTACCTTAAGGCGAGGATTTTTGAAACAATATTTTTCAAGGTTTACCTTATGGCGTGGGTTATTTAAACCATAATTTTAGGGTCTACCTTAAGGCGTGGGTTATTTAAACCATAATTTTAGGGACTACCTTAAGGCGTGGATTTTTTAAAAAAATATTTTTAGGGTCTACCTTAAGGCGTGGGTTATTTAAACCATAATTTTAGGGTCTACCTTAAGGCGTGGATTTTTTAAAAAAATTTTCTAGGGTCTACCTTAAGGCGTGGATTTTTAAAAAAAAATTTCTAGGGTCTACCTTAAGGCGTGGATTTTTTAAAAAAAAATATTTTTAGGGTCTACCTTAAGGCGTGGATTTAAAAAAAAAAATATTTTAAGGGTTTACCTTAAGGCGTGGATTTTTTAAAAAAATATTTTAAGGGTTTACCTTAAGGCGTGGATTTTTTAACAAAATATTTTAAGGGTCTACCTTAAGGCGTGGATTATTTAAACAATATTTTTCAAGCTCTACCTTAAGGCGTGGATTTTTTAAACAATATTTTTCAAGCTCTACCTTAAGGCGTGGATTTTTTAAACAATATTTTTCAAGGTCTACCTTAAGGTGTGTTTTTTTAATGTTTTTTTTTTTTGTACTTACTTTTTATTTGTGCTGTGCCTGGCAGTATTCTGCACTGTCTAGATGAAACTCCATAGATGTAGGAACAGGTCGAACCAGCTGTAAATAAATTGAAAGACAACAACAACAAGATTAGATTTATTTTGAATATTTATGACATTAAAATAAAATTTTGCAAATCAATGCAAACAAAATCACAATTTATGGTCCATCAAAGAAAGAAAAAAAAATATTGTTTTTTTTTCGACAAAAATTGCACAAGCATGAATTTTTGAAAAACACTGAAAAAATACCGAATATCTAATTTAAGAATTTTCAAGAAAAACGCGCAATAATAGGTAAAAAAATATGTGCCGGATTTTTTTCCTTCATTTAAATTGCAAAAAAAAAAAAAAGAAAAAAAATCTGTGGAAGATTGTCTTAAAAATAGACACAAAGAAAGAAAAACAAACAGCGACGAGGACAAAAATATTTATACGGACACATACACAGTATGTCAAGAATGTTTTTTTTTGATCCGATTATAAATTCTTGCAAGACAAAGTGTTCCATATTTTCTTGGTAGACCGTAGCTGCTCAATCCATATTATATATTTTTTATTTAAATAATAAATATATTTAAATGTTCAAGAACAAATTGCTTATAGACGAACAGAAAAATATGTCCATCAAGAAAAATACTGCAGCATTATTTTTTAATGGCAGCAGATGTTTTTTTTTTTTTTTTTTTTTTTGAGTGGAAAATATGGCAAAAAATTTTTCTAGACAGGTTTCAATCTTGCAAAAATATTTTAAAAGGTAAACAAATTTAAATATTTTTTACGTGGATTTTTTAAACATTATTTTTCAGGGTCTACCTTAAGGCGTGGAATTTTTAAACATTATTTTTCAGGGTCTACCTTAAGGCGTGGATTTTTTAAACATTATTTCTAAGGGTCTACCTTAATGCGTGGATTTTTTAAACATTATTTTTCAGGGTCTATCTTAAGGCGTGGATTTTTTAAACATTATTTCTAAGGGTCTACCTTAAGGCGTGGATTTTTTAAACATTATTTCTAAGGTTCTACCTTAAGGCGTGGATTTTTTAAACATTATTTTTCAGGGTCTACCTTAAGGCGTGGATTTTTTAAACATTATTTTTCAGGGTCTACCTTAAGGCGTGGATTTTTTAAACATTATTTTTCAAGGTCTAACTTAAGACGTGTATTTTTTAAAAAATAATTTTTTTAATTTTCTTTTCATCAAAAGAAAAAATTTAAAACGCTTTACATGATTTATGAAAATGTTGACATGTGTCGGCGGGGCCATCGAACACCAAAATCATTTAAGCAATTATTTTTATGTAAATCGCAAATGACAAACATATTTATTTTCTGTCTCTATAGGCTAAATCCCAAATTTTGGCAAAATTTATTGAAAATGATCAACAAAATGCCATAATTGTACATCATACATATGGTTGGGTTTGCGATGATGATGGGTCATTTTGAAAATAAATGTGATGCCACACACAAAATAAAATCATTTTCATATTCGCGAAAAAATATTTGAAAATTATTAATAGCTCAATAAATCCGAAACTATTAACAAGTTTAAATGTAAACAATTAGTTTTTCTTTCTCTAGAAAAAAAAAACGATTTTTTCCTCATTTACCTAAAAATAAATTTATGGCAAAATGAGGAGGACGGCATAATTCTTTTGGTTGGTACCCCATAATTTATAACATTGTTCACAAATCTTTAGTTTTTTTTTAAATGACACATAAAACTGTTCAGCTGTCAGTCCAAGAAGAAAGATCGCCACAATAAGCCACTGGCGTTGCAGTGATGCACCCCATTGGCTCCCATAAACCTCCTCTGAATATCTGTCACGTGTCTAATAAACTTGAACCATTTGTTTCCTATCGGAGGGTTTGAATGGCTAACACTCAAATGGGCTTCTAATCGAATGCATCCCCTTATCCCAGAAATGCTTGACGCCACCATTTGCCCATATTTTCTTTTTAATAGTTGCATGTCACATGTACAATAAATTGTTGACACACACACACATACATATGAACATCTAACAAAACCGATAATAAAATAATTTATAACAATTTTATTGTTTGGTATGGGACCGAACACGTACTGAAAGCCACATAGGTATATTTCAGTGACGACCACAATTAAAAAATATTTTTAATGCCTACTAATAGGCGTGGATTTATTAAAACATATTTTTAAGGCCTACTTATAGGCGTGGATTTATAAAAACATAATTTCAAGGTCTACTTATAGGCATGGATTTTTTAAAACATATTTTCAAGGCCTACTTATAGGCGTGGATTTATTAAAACATATTTTCAAGGCCTACTTATAGGCGTGGATTTATTAAAACATATTTTTAAGGCCTACTTATAGGCGTGGATTTATTAAAACATATTTTTAAGGCCTACTTATAGGCGTGGGTTTATTAAAACATTTTTAAGGCCTATAATTAGGCGTGGATTTATGAACAAATATTTTTAAGGCCTACTTATAGGCGTGGATTTATTAAAACATATTTTTAAGGCCTACTTATAGGCGTGGATTTATTAAAACATATTTTTAAGGCCTACCTATAGGCATGGATTTATTAAAACATATTTTTAAGGCCTACTTATAGGCGTGGATTTATTAAAACATATTTTTAAGGCCTACCTATAGGCATGGATTTATTAAAAAAATTTTTTAAGGCCTATAATTAGGCGTGGATTTATTAAAACATATTTTCAAGGCCTATAATTAGGCGTGGATTTATTAAAACATATTTGCAAGGCCTATAATTAGGCGTGGATTTATTAAAACATATTTTCAAGGCCTATAATTAGGCGTGGATTTATTAAAACATATTTTTAAGGCCTATAATTAGGCGTGGATTTATTAAAACATATTTTCAAGCCCTACTTATAGGCGTGGATTTATTAAAACATATTTTCAAGCCCTACTTATAGGCGTGGATTTATTAAAACATATTTTCAAGCCCTACTTATAGGCGTGGATTTATTAAAACATATTTTCAAGGCCTATAATTAGGCGTGGATTTATTAAAACATATTTTCAAGGCCTATAATTAGGCGTGGATTTATTAAAACATATTTTCAAGCCCTACTTATAGGCGTGGATTTATTAAAACATATTTTCAAGGCCTACTTATAGGCGTGGATTTATTAAAACATATTTTCAAGGCCTATAATTAGGCGTGGATTTATTAAAACATATTTTTAAGGCCTACTTATAGGCGTGGATTTATTAAAACATATTTTCAAGGCCTATAATTAGGCGTGGATTTATTAAAACATATTTTCAAGGCCTATAATTAGGCGTGGATTTATTAAAACATATTTTCAAGGCCTATAATTAGGCGTGGATTTATTAAAACATATTTTCAAGGCCTATAATTAGGCGTGGATTTATTAAAACATATTTTCAAGGCCTATAATTAGGCGTGGATTTATTAAAACATATTTTCAAGGCCTATAATTAGGCGTGGATTTATTAAAACATATTTTCAAGGCCTATAATTAGGCGTGGATTTATTAAAACATATTTTCAAGGCCTATAATTAGGCGTGGATTTATTAAAACATATTTTCAAGGCCTATAATTAGGCGTGGATTTATTAAAACATATTTTCAAGGCCTATAATTAGGCGTGGATTGATTAAAACATATTTTTAAGGCCTACTTATAGGCGTGGATTTATTAAAACATATTTTTAAGGCCTACTTATATGCGTGGATTTATTAAAACATATTTTCAAGGCCTATTATTAGGCGTTGATTTATTAAAACATATTTTCAAGGCCTATAATTAGGCGTGGATTTTTTAAAACAAATTTTCAAGGCCTATAATTAGGCGTGGATTTATTAAAACAAATTTTCAAGGCCTATAATTAGGCGTGGATTTATTAAAACATATTTTAAAGCCTATAATTAGGCGTGGTTTTATTAAAACATATTTTAAAGCCTATAATTAGGCGTGGATTTATTAAAACATATTTTAAAGCCTATAATTAGGCGTGGATTTATTAAAACATATTTTCAAGGCCTATAATTAGGCGTGGATTTATTAAAACATATTTTCAAGGCCTACTTATAGGCGTGGATTTATTAAAAAATATTTTTATGGCCTACTTATAGGCGTGGATTTATTAAAATATTTTTTTAAGGCCTACTTATAGGCGTGGATTTATTAAAATATTTTTTTAAGGCCTACTTATAGGCGTGGATTTATTAAAATATATTTTTAAGGCCTACTTATAGGCGTGGATTTATTAAAATATATTTTTAAGGCCTACTTATAGGCGTGGATTTATTAAAACATATTTTTAAGGCCTACTTATAGGCGTGGATTTATTAAAACATATTTTTAAGGCCTACTTATAGGCGTGGATTAATTAAAACATATTTTTCAAGGCCTACTTATAGGCGTGGATTTCTGAGGGTATTCATGTGTGGTGCATACTCTTAGGCTGTCGTTCCCAAAATTTTATTTTTTAATAAATAAGAAATAAATAATGGAACTTGTAGAACTTTTCTTACCTTCTCGCCATTAAGAAATCTAATCCTTAACAATATGAATTTTAATTTCTTCTTCGAAGATATTCACATGCAATAAAAACCCCTGAGTTAGTAACTGAGTTTAGAAGACTGCGGTTAGTTTGACAAGCGATGATTATTTGCTTAGCTTTCTTTGTTGTGTTACTATTTATTTCGTTTACAGTTTATTAACAACAAAATAAAAATTTTTATTTTGTTTTATTAGTATTTACAGGAGAAAACAAAAAATCAAAATAAATAAACAAACAAATATTGTAAAAATGTTAATTTGCTTTTGTTTACTTTTACAACAAATTTCTATATACGCCGCACAAAATATTTTGATTGCGAAAATTATTATTCTTATTATTGTTACACACAAATCAGTCTTTTTTGTAAAATTCTCTCCCACTATTTTCCGTTTTGTTGTTAAATAGTATATTAGACAATTGTTTTGGTTTTTCGTTTTTTGTTTTTTCTTTCTCAAGAATTTCGAAATTTTGTTTTTCAATTTTCGGGGATTTTCTTTTTAATATTTACACAGTTTTATTAATTTGTATACAAATTGTTTATT